ACCTAGGCCAGCCCAGCCAAAAAGCATGAGATATTGTCTGAAAATACAACAAAGCAAAAATGTACTCATTACCTACTCATGTAACTATAACCCCTTCTCTACAGTATTTTTACAATAAAAGGGGGGGCGTGGCTAGAGGAATAGTTCAAGAGATAGAGTGCTTGTCTAGCAAGTTTGAAGCCCTGAATTTAAACCTCAATACCACCAAAAAAATAAAAACAAAGATGAATCATAGGACTTATTGATGTGAAGGTCAACAGGGCAATTGAGTGTGGTGAGCAGAAAACTAGTTTAGATTAACCCTTTTACTAAAAGCAACTATTTAAGAATTATACAGAAGCTCCTGTTTAGCTAGGTACTACAGAAACAAGTGACTTAAGTTGAATATCTTTATCAACTTCCAGCTAGCAAGTGAGCAGAAAATTAACAGTTTTAAAAAAAATCAACCCTTGTACAGGTAACCAATGATAACTAAAAAATATGAAAACAAAACAATGGAATTTAGTTTTCAAGATCCTTTTCAGCTATTTCAAAATGTCTGTTCAGCTCTACACATACAAGCTTCTAATGTACTTGTTCAAAACTTGCTTAACATAACTAATGAGAGATTGTTCAATAAAATCATAGATCAATTCTGTAATGTTTCCATTTATTTGATTTTATGTTTTCTATTCTCTTGTTCTACAAAGGATGAGTCATCTTCAAATAGTATAATTCAGTAAAATGAAGAAGATCAGATAAATACCAGAACTGAGAAAAGTAAGGTAAAACAAAAACTAAAGAACAAGGAAAAAGTAAGAACACTGATATTAGGTTATGGAGTTGTCTTTGTTTTTAACACGGTTCTTATAACTGAGTTGCAAGTTTGACTCTTCATTTCCTACTTTCCAAAATAGAAAGGGAAATGGGTGGGAGGGGAAAGAGAGAATGCTGAAAGGGGTAATGTTGGTCAAGACACATTGTATTCATAAGCTGCTTTCTTGAATGACAAAAAAAAAATCCATGTAAAAAAAGAAATGTAATCCGTTATCTGGCTGCCAGATTGCATGATGGGGAAAAATAGACATTTATAAATTGTTCCTAAGAAGTATGTGTTTTACTCCTTGGCATCTGGAATGAAACAGATTTTCTGGCATGGACTCAAACCAGAGTTATATGTACAAAGGAACATGGTCTGAATTGCATGCGAAAAGATGTAACAGTACGGCTTCTTTTGCTATATTAACAGAATCCTCCAATGTAAAAAACAATGGGTGCAAAGTGAAGATAACCAGGTGGGTGTTCCTGTAATCCCAGCTACTCAGATGGCTGAGATCTGAAGATCAAGGTTTGAAGTCAGCCAGGGCAGGGAAGTCTGTGAGGTTTATCTCCAATTGACTGGGGGGAAAAGCCAGTAGAAGAGGTGTGGTTCAAGTGGTAGATCACAGCTTTGAGTGGAGAAGCTGAGTAAGAAGCTCTGCTGTGTTCAAGGTAGCAGCATAAAGCATGGCTGTGGTTTAGCTATCCTCTATTAGAGGATCAAAGTTACTCCTGATCAAAGTTACAGACAATGCACATTCTCTAGCATATGCAGGCATAAAGGATTTTTCACCTGATCAGGGGGAACCAGTATACTACAACTATTCTTCAACCATAAGTGTACTTCTGTGTAGTTTTTTCCACAACCCATAGCAATTTTGATTGCAGGATATGTAAACTGAAAGGATCCTGTTCAGAGAAAACTTTTTGCTGAAATTTTAAAAGGACAAAAATGAGATTTAGCAAAGATAGGAGACCGGTTTCTAAAATAAACACTTGAGGAAAATGCAGAAATGGCATAGAGAAATTCAGGGGTTAGACATGGTGCTTTGGGAGGTGGGGCTGATGGTAAGTTACAAAGATCTAGGAAGCACAGAGCATTTGTCTGCTGGACTCTCAAGAAAAGAAAAAAGATACTGCCTCTTCCATTGGGTACTTAGGAAAGAGTCTTGTTTGACTGTGATTCCAAAGCCCAGAGTTACAACACATTGTTAAGTACTCAAGTTATATTGGTTAAACAAACAGTTTTTATAAGTAACAAAGTAAAAAATGCATTATAACCACAGGAGACTGTTCTTTTTAAAATTAAATCAATTATCTGCTCAGTACCCTATATTACAAATAAAGATTTGCAAAATGTCATTTTTTTGTCATATGGCAGAACTGGCTTTGTTTTAACAAAGCATAGCAAATTAGATTTTCGCTACTAAGTGCCTTCCTGAGGATCCCCTATTCTTACTAGCTTTAACATAAAAGTATTATTTCCTCTCTTATTTGGAAGAATCTAACAAGGTTAGAGAAGCAATATTAGTAAACTCTGATTTACCATACTGTGTGAAAATAAGTTTGGGGGTAAATATGTAGTGAAGATGCTAAGATGTACTAAAATGACAAAGAGAAAATAAAATGAGACCACTCTCGGATAATTGTGTTAGGCAGAGACTGAAAAGAATTTAATGGTAACCCATAAAATTTATGAGCTAGGAAAACACAAACAAAATCAACACAGGAAATAGCACAGTGCAAGGACAAAACAAATAAAATGTGATAGTTATCCTTGCTATTTTTTTTGCTGTGTTTCAAAATAACATTTTAAAGCAGAGAGGCAATGGATCTTCCAAACACTTCATTTCACAATCAGCCTGGCTGTCAAACCTGTTAACTGATAACACTTATAATACTGATGAAAACAGCTAAAATTTTACATCTAGGATTACAGATGTGGCTCAGTGGTAAAGAATTTGTCATGCACCATGGGTCCAATCCTCAAATAAAAAATGTACCACTATCCATATTATGTATGTCTACCTCTTTAGGAATCCCAGAGACTTCTAAATGTTTTATTTTCTGTTTCCCTTCAGTAAAGTGCATTACAATTAGATCAAACCACAACTCATTCTGAAACAAGTTAATATCCTACTTATTAACTAAATTATGGTTCCCTCTGAATAACTTACGAGTTTTCTTTAAAATGTAAATTATATATTTTTGTTTTTTCTTAGCCTAGGCTCATTTATTAATTTGTTCATTCTACAAATATCTTTCCATATCAGAGATGCTAAGAACATAATGGAAAACAACACAGACAATTGTGTTAGGTAAATTTGGAGGTAATAATCTTGTATGACCAATTCCAGACATACATTCTTTTACATAACTAACATGTCCCCATGTACTGTTTAAATTGGGTTTGAGGGTTTTAACTGAAACAAGCTTTAGTACTGAGTCAGGAAATTTGGGGACATGAACCTAAGAGAGAGGAAGTGCTTCCTCTATTTAATAATGCATCACAGGATAGCATGTGGTCCTAAAAATGTCCGATTTCAAATAACCTAGTAAGCCTATATACATAAAGAAGTGATTCCTTAAATCCAGATACATTTTGCTTGTCCCAGAACAAAAATATACTGATTCTAAATTTTTTGATGAAGCTCAAAACACAGTTCTTTCATTCAACAACATACGTAAGAAGCATCTATTAGAGACCAGATAGGGGATTACAGGATAGAGGAGAGAGAAAAAGCAAACAAACAAAAAACTTAGATTCCCTCCTCTTGGTGAGAATTTATATTTGATTCAGTTTGTCAAATTTCTACACCTAAATATTTGGATATAAAATTGGAGCTTCCAATGACCCATTTTCCTAAAGTCTAAAAACGGGACTCCTTCATATAAATTAAAAATATAATAACAAAACGATAGCCTGGGAAGACATTATTTTGCTGCAAGCTCTAATATATGAATTTTACATCTAAGAGCGGAGGCCAATGGCTCATGCCTGTAAGCCTAGCTACTCAGAAGACTGAGCTCTGAGAATCAAGGTTTGAAGCCAGCCGTGGCAGGAAAATCGATTAGATGCTCATCTCCCATTAACCATCAAAAAGCTGGAAATGAAACTCTGGCTCAAGTGGCAGAGTGCTAGCCTTGAGAGGAAAAGCTAAGGTACACCTCTCAGGCCCGGAATTCAAGCCCTGGTGCAAGCACCATTTAAAAAAAAAAAAGAGGGGTGGGGTACAGAGTAGGGTGGAGGGAAGCCAAGAGAGAAAGGAGGGAGGGAGGAAGGGAGGAGAGAAAGAACAGGAATTTTGCATCAAGAGAAGGAAAACAGTCACCACCCATTTCTATGTATTAGCGTACATAACACTGAATTCTTCAATTAGAGTCTTGTATGACTGCGATTCCAAAGCTATTTCTCAGATACAAGCCCTGACCGGGAGTTGGAAGTTCGGCTGAGCACAAGGCTGCCTCTGCCGGCAGAGCCACTGCTTCCTGGCAGCCGAATCTCAACTCTGACACCTGTATCAAACTTGTCACTCATTAAACCCATCCCTTCAAGATAAGCAGGAGGCTTATCCTAAATCCGCCGCGCAGGAATACCCTGACCTCATCCACCTCCAGAAGAAGAAGAAGGAAAAAAAAAATCAAACAGCTGGCTTTTGCTGAGGACCTTCCCCAAACCGCCCCAGAGGGTGGACGGTGAGAGTCCATTTTACCACCCAACCAGCTGTGAAATTGACCAATAAACCCACCACCACTTCCACAAAGCCCTCTCACACAACCCCTGGCTCGCCTACGTGTTTTGGCTAAAAAGACAGGAAGAAGACATCTGCCAATCCACTTTCGTTGTTGTTGTGGTTGTTTAATGCAATGACATTTTTCTACCTGTGCTACTGACAAATCCAAAGGTCTTCTCCTCTCTCCCACCCCCACCTACTCTCCTCCCCCCCCCGCCCCCGCCCGCGCCCCACGGATCCCCAGGGTCCAGCTCTCGCGCGCCCCCGTCCCCACCTCAAGAGCTCCAGAAGAGGGATTCAGGTTAATCAAGGGGCTGCACCCAGCGCCATTTGCACACCTCAGGGCACTCCACCCAGCCCTGGCTGGAGGCAAGTTTGGCGCGTCCTGGCCCTTACCCCCAGCCTCTCCCCAGCCGCAGCATCCGCTGCCCGGGGCCGCCCGGGCCCGGCCCCGCCTCACCCACCTACCTACAGGGCGGGGGCGCCAGCTCTGCGGGTCCCGGAGGAGGGGGTCGCGCGCGCGCATCCTCGAGAGCGGGGGCCTGTGCCGCGGGGCGCACGGGAGCGCATCCTCCGGGGTGGGCGGAAGGAGGGGTCGGGAGGACCGCGCGCTGACGCGAGCCAGAGAAAGAGGAGGAGGAGGAAGGCACACCGGGCGCGTGCCCGCGGAGCCGCAGCTCTGCGCCGGTGGGAGCCGCGGCCGCGGGGAGCCGCCGGGCCTTTCCCACGCGCGCGCGCGGCGCCTCACCGTCCCTGCGGCCGCGCCCGCGCTCACAGCCTCGGCCGCGACCAGCTCCGGGCCCGCGCCGGGGACGGGGAGGTGCGGGCGGCGCGACGCGGGGCCGACGCCCACTCCTAGCTCCGCCCGTCCCGCGGTACGCTGTGCGCCCCTCCGCGGTGGCGAGGGCCGTGCAGCCTGGCCACTGGGCTTGGTGGCTCGCCCTGCGGCTGCGGCTGCGACATCTTCCCTTCCTCTGCGACCTCCGCCCGGGAGGAAGGACGACCCAGGCCACCCCTCCGGGTGGCGACAGCGTCCGCTGCTCCAGCCCGGACCCAGCGGCTCCGCCCGCGAGAGCTGCGCGCGCGGCCTCCGCAGGCCTAGGCCCACGGTGACGCCGGCCGAACGCGGACGCGGTGCTGGCCCGCGGGCCGACGGCGGATCCTGAATGGGGTCTGCTTACCTCGCCCGAGGCTCCATCCCTTGCAGCTAGCCAGCTTCGGGCCCTAAGCTTGGAGGGATGTCAGGCTTCAGAGCACTGTTGGGGGCAGAGTGTCTGCTGGAGCCTTAAAAGTCCTCTGACTTTTTCCTTCCAGCTCAAAGACCGTGGGCCACAATCAGTCAAACCTCCTGTCTTTTCTAGAGTTGCATTTAGCCCAGAGACCCACCATCTCCTCCCCTCTCCCGTCCTGGGCACAGCATCGTCGTGGATGCTGCCAGATTGCAACCTTTACAGCAATAGCAATGTAGCAGTTGGGCCTTCCAGCCAGCTCTTGGCAGAGATCCGAGAGAACCTGGTGGAAGGGTTTGCATCAGCATCAGGGCCTTGCCTCTGAACATCCCGTCCGCATTGGATGCTGTTCCCTCTACAGTCCCGTGACTGCCCTGCAAGATGACTAACAGGATCTGGCCCTGCCTTTCACCCCTTCACCCTGACACACGGAAGAAAAAAAGCTCAAGGAAGAACCTGCGGCTGGTCTGATAACACTGGTGTGCCAGAGGCCATCCACACAGACCTAGTAGATTGCTGCCTGCCCTGGTAACTGAAGCACGTCTAGTTGCCCCAGCCTTTCAGGAGGGTGGAGCAAAGCATTTAACAGTAATGACTTTGGGATTTCAGTTGCAAGTGGTGGTGTTGTTTACGTGGTCTTAGAAATGTGGACTCAATCTCCCAATGCTGCACTTAAACATGTACGGTTTTCAACATCAGGTTTACAACTTTCTGGCTTGACTATGAAGAGATTTTTTTTTTTATTGTGATGAAGATTTTTTTTCCCCTTGCAGGCATTTGGGGAGAGGTGTGTGTGTGAGAGTATGTGTGTGTCTGTGTGCGTGTAAATAATTTAGCATTTGTCAAAAGGAAATTAATACCTAAAGACCCAATTTCATTGTGTTCAGAGGAAAAGCATCTCCCGAGATAGCTCTGTTCTCACAACACTTGGTGAGTGCACTTCTATGACTGAAATCTGAGCGAGCTTTAAAAAAGTCAGGCAAGCTGGTGGCTCATTCCTGTAATCCTAGCTACTCAGGAGGCTGAGATCTGAGGATCACGGTTCAAAGCCAGCCCGGGCAAGAAAGTCTGTGAAACTCTTATCTCCAATAAACCACCAGAAAACCGGAGGTGGCGCTGTGGCTCAAGTGGTTGAGCGCTCGCCTAGAGCTGAAGAGCTGAGGGGCAGTGCCTAGGCCCCGGAGTTCAAGCCCCATGACTGACAAAAAAAACAAACAAAAAAAAAAAAACAAGCAAACCACACAAAGCACCTTGTTCCATATGAAGACCAAATTAGGATAAAATACTGATTCCATTTTATTTTTGTTTTTGTTTGGGAACTGAATCCCTTTAAGCAAATTGGAAGTTGGGTGTGCATTAGTTACAGGATCTGCAGTACCCTGGGCAGGAAAAACACCTCATGGCAGACTGCTTCCTGGAAACAGCTGGCAGATCTAAAGCCCCAGTCCACATTCATGTTATTCTGTCCCAATTCATAATTACTTAATTGTAAGAATGTATATAAAATGTATAACTACAGAATAGAGTCACTTGGGAGAAGAATTTGGCCTTTGTTGTACACTATCTATTTTAAATTGTTTCTGCAGGAAATGTCCGCCGTTTTGTGATTCTTTGCTGTTTCTCATCCTTTCAACATCAACAGCACCCTTTGCTAAGAAGAAAATTAAGCAGTAATCTTTTGTAGAAAAATAGTAGCTAAGTGTGTGTTTTAATAAAATGGCAGCCTTTCAAAACATTGAGAATCAAATGTGACTGTCTTCACTCTTCATGGCTCTTCTAGGGTGAACTGATAAGTCACATACTGAGACATTAGAAGAAATAAAACCATTTCCATGCCCTCTAGATCCAATATTGGCCCCAATAGCCACATGTAGACATTTAAATACAATTTAAATTGCAGTTCTTCAGTCTCCTGGTCATGTTTTATTCCTAAGGAGACACACACATAAAGCTGTGACTATCCTTTTGTGTAGCACATGAGATAAAATTTGCAGTATTAAGAGAAGGTTCTTTTAAAATAGGAGGTCAAATTTTAATTGGTAAATAAGACGTGCATAAAGTAACTTGGGAAACCTTAGTATACTGATATCAAACTTTCACTAGTCAACTCATGTTCTACCTTTAGACTACAGCTCCAGCACATGCTGACATTGGACAGAATACTTCATCAGATGCTTTATCCTTAAGTAGGGAAGTGATAACAGTGCCAGCTTCACAGGATGGAAATAGAGATAAATGAACGCATCATGAATGGTGCTTAAAGTTCATAATGCCTCCAATAGAAGGAAGCTATTACTATAAAAATGAATAGTTATGTAACACTGGTTTTTACAAATTATCTTCCTAGTACCTCTCTTTATGGAGGTTTTTTGTTAAATATGAATACTGACATTTCTTTCTATGATACATGGTCTTTTCATGATGAGACTTTGAGACTGATACAGAGAAACAGATCTGTTCAGTTCTTTTTTTTTCCCCCCCCAGGCCATCACTGGGTTACAGGGAAGGAACTGGAAGAGTGGGAAGCTGCTGGATCTCCATGTTCTCTTAATAGGCCTTCAGGGGATCTGGGTGGGCCCAGAGAGCACCACTAAATAATAACAACTGTAAAACAAGACTTTTCTTATCTAAGGAAAATTCTGTTTTAAAGAGGTATGGCTAGTATTTCTTTTTTAAAACACAATATTGGCAATGTCTCCTGGAACTGAAATTCCAAAGTTATTGGCAAATGCTACTTTTAACATTTCCCAAACAAAAGGCTCCCTGGATAAGTCATGAACAAACTATTACTAAAATTGCTTTCAAAATTATATTAAGTGAAGTAAATACGACCCAGAGAAACAAAAGTTGCATCGTATTCCTCATTTGTGGTAGCTAGAATTTGCCTATAAATCTGTAAGTAAACACGTTTAGTTATACGCAAGTGGCTACAAATGTATTAACTGAAATATGGTGGACTCTAAGGAGAACTCAAATAATGTAACTCCTTGGAAAGACAAAGTCAAGGCCTAACAAAATAAGCACCAGGAAACCTTGTACTTGCAAGAAGGGGTGGGGCCAAAGGGAGAGGGATAGACAAATGAAGGAGATGCAGGGAAGAATTCATTGTATATACTACAAAATTTCAAAAAGGAAGTAAGAGGTGGGTCAAAGGGGGTGAGAGTGTTGAAAGGGGTGACACAGAATAAGATGCATTGTATTCATAAACTGCTTTGTTAACCATGTAAAAATAATTTAATAAACAAAATTAAGTTGCTTTCGTAAATTTCTGTGCAGATTGAGTGGAAACTTGTGCATTGGAAGAAGAATTTGGAATATCCGCAAAAGAAAGTTCACTTTATCCTCTTGATTCTAGCCCACGGAGAAAGATACCCTTTTATGACCCTTACTCAGGCTGGTTGAGACCCAGGCTGTAAATGATGCTAATAGCATCTATGGAGAGATACGGAGGCATCCTGCATCTAAAAAGAGTTCATTGTTTAATAGCATTGAAGGCAGTGGTTCATATCCCCTAACTGGGGTCATCATTGGTTTGTTTGGTTCATCAAGATACCAGCTTTAAGTTTTCAAAAGCATATAAAAGAGTCCTTTTGTGAGATAAGGAAGGTGGCTCAGTGGTAGAGTGCTTGCCTTGCATATATGAGGCCCTGGGTTTGATTCCTCAGCACCATATAAGCCGAAAAGGCCAGAAGTGGTACTGTGGCTCAAGTGGTAGAGCACTAGCCTTAAGCTGAAGAGCTGAGGGACAATGCCCAGGTCTAGAGTTCAAGTCCCATGACCAAGAAGAAAAAAAAGGGTCCTTTTGTGGATGAAAGTTCATTGCTTTTCTTACTTAGCTTGCTTGAAGTCTAAAGGAGGTAGAAATCACATTGTCATTCAACAGGAGGAGTCTGCCAAAGTGTATCGAAAAAGAAATACACAAAGAAATGGATTGCCCAGCCTACACATTGAATTCAGGCTGATTACTTAGGGTAATAAAAAAATTCTTTTATTTATACTAATTTCTTAAATGGCTGCTTTGTTACAGTTTTCTTTTTTTCTTTTTTTTTTTTTTTTTTGGGTCCGGTTGTGGGGCCTGAACTCTGGGCCTGGGCACTATCCCTCAGCTCTTCAGCTCAAGGCCAGCGCTCTACCACTTGAGCCACAGTGCCACTTCTGGCTTTTTTCTTTTTGCTTATGTGGTGCTGAGGAATCAAACCCAGGGCCTCTAGCATGCAAGGCAAGCGCTCTACCACTGAGCCACCTTCCCAGCCCCTACAATTTTCTTAATTCTTATTTTTTTGTTATTAGTTGTCTTATTTCTCCTTGAAGCCGTGTGCTTCATAGCTTGATAATTCAT